CTTCCGAGCCAGGTTTGCTCCGGAGCCGCGTTTCGGCCGCCTTCCTCTCCCCTCCCCCTGCCTGCATCTGGAGGCTCGGCACAGGAACCCAGATAGCATCATCCTGAAACCAGAATAGAAGCTTTGGAGGAGACTCGAGCGTGTTTGTGCGGTTTTGATCTCGGTTTGGAGATAAAGAGGTGCTAAACAATGCTGAGCTGGTGAGTTAGCCCTTCGCACGGCGCGCAGCGGGGCCGGGGGCGCGCGGACACGCGGTGCCCGACGGAGCTGTGACCGTGTCCTGCCCGGTGCCACCGTCCTGGGCAAACCCACGCGGGGCGATGGCTCGCTGGGGAGGTGATGGCGAGCACGAAGCGGCGACGTTGCAGGAGGAGGAGAAGGAGGAGGAGGAGGAGGAGCGGTGCCAGCTGAGCGCCAGCACCGTGCGTTAGCGCCGGGGGCTTCTCGTTCCCCCCTTCCCCACGGGAGAAGGAAGCGGGGTCCCTCGGATCCCGAAGCCGGCGAGGAGGAAACGAAAAGTCCTTGGTGTCAGCGTAGAGGATATGTAAAAAACAACAATTAAGGCACAAAAGGCCGGCCCAGCCGCCAGCGAGAAAAGGAAACAGGAAGGCAAGAACTGCAGCTAAACAGTCAGGTTCAAGAGGTGACCCGAGCTCAATCCGTAGCCTTGGGAGGTGGAAGTGCAGCCCTGCGCCGCTGCCGGTTCGTGCCGTGGTGAGAGCGAGACGCACGATGCTGGGGGCTTGGACACCTCGGCTGCGCTTTGCTGCTTCGTTTGCAGGTGCTTTTAGGGCTTTTTTGCCACGGGAGAGAGGCCGGGGGGTGCTGCCAGGCTGCTCTCAGGGCACTGCGTGGTGTCTCCCAGGCTCGGCTGCTTTTCCCGGGGGATGCTGCGGGTTTGGCACCGGGGGGGCCCCGTGCTGGTGCCCGCACAGCGCTGGCGCCTCCCTGCCCTGACCGGAGAAGGATGCCCCGGCTCGAAGGATGCCAAGCAGGGATAAGCCCATCTTTGGGATAATTCCTCCAAATCCTCATTAAAGGGTGGTTTTGTGCTGCGGGAGCGGGTGGTGCTGGGGGGGGGGGGGAAGGCGCTGGCTTTTGGCTGTTGTGGTTTTATTTTGGGGTGTGCTTCCCCGTGCCTGGTCCTGGCCGCTGGTGCCTCCACGTTGCTGCTTGCAGCGAATCTCCTTTCCTCGTGCCTTGCAGGAGGTGGGAAACAGCCTTTCTCCCTTTAATTTGGGATTCAATTTTGGATTTAATTTGGGGATTTTCTGCGCCGCTGGCAGGCCTTCTCCCTCCCGTTCACCTCCTCCACCAGCTGAGCAGTGCAGGGCCCTCCAGCCTCTTCCCGGGGGAGTGCTTTTCTTCTTTTCCTTCCTCTCCAAATTTCCTTCCAGATTTTGCTGTCCCTTTTCACCCTGCTTCCACCACGGATTTCTGCCCTGGTGCCCCGGGGAGCATGGATCCGGGAGCGCACCGGGAAGGGCAAGGCCACGCAGGAGTGCAGAGCGGGCAGCACTTGAAAGCAAAAAAGTTGTTGTGTGTTTTGTTTTTTTTTTTGGAAAGGATACAATTATTTGCCTTTGCCTTCCTATTCCGAGGGCTTTGGGGTTCGCCGTTTTGATCTCGCCTTTACAGCTGCGCGGCGGCCGCTTGGTTTATTGGAGCTGACATTGTGCTGAGCTCACAATGCGGCTGACTTCAGCGAGGAGGCAAGGAAAAGGGGACGCGATAAAAGTGCGTTAAAAATAGCAAAAAAAGGCCCCAAAAAGTGGGTGTGAGACCCTGAGCGCCCCCGCTTGCTCCTAGGGATCTTTGGGGGGATGGAAAATGGATGGTGTGAAGGACCCCACTGCTCGTGCAGTGCCAAGGGAAAATATTTAAAAATTGGTAAAATAGGCTGTAAATATGTATAAAGGGTCAGGAATGCAGGAAAAAAGTCTCGGGGGAGATGGCAGCTCTCGAGCCTCCCCAGCTCCTGGGCTCAGCACCCCCCAAATTCCTGGTTTTGTGCAAACACCTCCCAGCTGAGAGGCTGCTGCTCCTCTCCTTTCTTCCCCCATTTGCAAAATGCTAACTCTGCTCCCTCGCCCGTCTCTCCAATTTGAAGCAATTTGCTTGGAGCCGGGTATGAATTACTCAGCACAGAGTTAACCAGCACCTGCTCGCAGTTAATTGGCATGTGTGTTAATTGCCGTGACAGTCACGCTGGTGCGAGCGCGCGAGGGGGTGCCGGGTGGGAGGGATGCGGCCCCGTCCCAGCGCGGCTCGCGGGGGCAACGCCAAATTTCCCCCGGGGTTTTGGGGTCCCTCTGATCCTCACAGCGATTCCCAGGTGCCCGTGGTTTGCCGGGCTGAATTTTAGGGCTGTGGGGATTCTCTGGTGTCTTATTAAAGGCTGGGCTTTCCCCCGGTGTGCGACTCGTTGGAGTGCCGTGGTTTGGGGACGGCGACGTCCCCTGGGCTTGGTGGGCACACGGGGTCGGTGCCTCCTTGTCCTGTGATGGAGCGAGCCTCGTTTCCTTAGAAAACCAGGCTGAGGAGCGAGGAGCTGCTGTCTAGAAGGGCAAAAAGATGGTTGGGTCATCGGGGATATTACTCGGAATTAAAACACCTGAGGCCCCGCGCGTTACAAGTTATTGAGGAGTTTGAACTCTCTTTAAAAGTCCCAAGTCCTGGGTGCTTGGGAATGTGTGTCCCGGTGCTTGAGTCCCCCCTGAGCGTGTCGGAGGGTGATGGGAGACCCCAGTGCTTTGGGGTGGGTGATTGGGGGCTGAAATGATTTGCAGAGAAGGAAGGGGAGCCGCTGGTGAGGTGCGTGGTGGGACCCGGTGCTTGCTCCGCGTTCCTCGTGCCTGCAGATGCTGCTCAGAAAGTGGAGCCTGTGGTCGGGCTTTCTGAAACAGCCACCTGGCCAGGAAGCTTGAAAGAATACCTGGGTTTAAAAATACCTCGGGGGAAAAAAGAAACCCCGCAACGCCCTAAAACCCCACCAGGAACATGGAGAGAAAAGGGGGGAGTTTAAAAACCTCCCCGTGGGTGAGCTTGGAGAGCAGCAAGCGCCGCAGTGCTGCTCCCAATCCCTTCCCTTCTCCCATCGGAGCCCCGAATTTGGTGTTTTCCTCCCCGGTGCCAGCTCTGGATCCTCTCCCCTGGGGACGAGCAGGAGGAGCAGCATCCTCTGGGCAGCGTGGGCGAGCACCAGGCCGGGACGCGCCGTCCCCATCCAGCCAGGGCAGGCTCCAAGGAACGCGGTGTGGTGGTTGAGAAAGGTGATTTGCGTCGGGACACCTGGGTTTTATTTGCAGCTCGGGGAGGGGAGCGTGGTTTTGGTGAGAGAAGCACGAGCAAGGCTCGGGGCAGGGCTGGGCTTTGCTCCTCTCGGCCCCGGCTTTGTGAGCTCTTGGCTGCGACAGCATCCTGTGAAGGAGTCCCACAGCCGAGTAACGTTCAAATATGTTTCCTTTCACTCGCTTTAAATTTACGGCCCGTTGTTCTGCAGTGTTTATTGTTGCTGCTGGAGAGTTCCTCTCTGGTTTGGATAGCAAACCCGCCGTCGTTTCGGAGGGTTGCTCCGTCCAAGCGCTGCGGCAGAAGGAAAGAATTAGCGTCCTGCCCCGGGTCCGGATGCGGAGCTGTTGCTGCTTCGTCCTGCCGCTGGCGGTGCCGAGGCTGGGGAAGGTGCGTGTTCTCAGCCAGCTGAAGGAAACGGCTCCGAAGGGAGAAGCTGCAAAGAAAACTTTGCAGAAAGCTCCTCCTGCTTTTCTCCCAGTCCTCGTGCCGGCCCCTCGCCTCCCCGCGGTGCTGGGAGCGTGGTGTGCAGCCCGGGTACCGCGTGCGCACTTGGAGAGGTGCTGGCACCCCTGGCACTGGGCCTTTCTCAGCCTCTGGTGTCCAGAGAAGACAGTGCCCGAAGTGGAAAAGATTCAAGCAGCCAACGGGCCATTTGTCCTCGTCCCGTTGGGGTTTGGAGGAAAAAGGGCTTTGGTTGTCCTCTGACTCCCCGAGCAGTCGGGGTCCTGAGCGCTCGCCTGCTCCAGGCAGCAAACGGTGGGGAAATTTGTCTCCCTCCCCTGCCTGGTGCTCAGATCCGTGCCGAAACTGCTCAGCGCGAGGCATGATGAATAATTGCACCAAAAAAAAACACGGGAGAGTGACTCACAAGCCTCCACGAACCCCGAAAAACAAGCGCGGGAGCGTCGGGGCTGCTTTGGGGTCGCAGTGCCCAGCGAGGAGGCAAAGGATGGGGCGAAAATCCCCGTGGGGCCCAGGCTGGGGGCTGCGGGGTGGGACAGGGGCAGGGAGGAGGCTTTGGGATCGTGCCTCCCAGAGCCAAACCCGGAGCGTTTGGGGCTGCCAAGCGGAGGCAGATACGGGGCTATTTTGGGATTGGCTTTTCCCTCTGTCCGGGCCTTGGCACGGGGCACCGTGGCGTCAAAGCGCGACGTGAGCGCTGCCCCTCAGCTTTGCCAAGTCCACCCGTGCCTCCCCTCTGCATCCCGGTGTTAAACCAAAGGGGTCGGGCTCGAGCTCCCCCCTCCACCTTCCTTCCCCCTGCCCCGTGTCCTGGTTATACGTTATTTTTTTAAAGTAATTGAATAAAACCGGCTGAAAATGCCAAATTGAAGCTTAACGCAGCAATCGGAGCCGTGTGGAAATGGCCCGAGCTGATCACCCGCCGCTCCACTGCTTACGACTTTATCAAGAGGAAAAAAAAAAGATCCCAGGGGATCACAGAGGGACGGCGCTGTGCCCCCCCAGTGCCTCAGTGCCCCCCCGGTTCCCTACCTCCCCTCGGTCCCCTGGCTCCAACCCTGGGGGTTTCCAAAACCAGATGGGAGCAACACGACGTCCCCGACCCCGTGCGATGGATCGGAGACCTGCCGAGGTCCCTTGTCCCCAAACTGGGCTCCGGTGCTTGGGGGGGGGAGAATCCTGGGGGGCACAGCCTGGGCACGGATGGGTTTGGGTCTCACTCCTTTCTCTCTCCCTCCTCGCAGGTTTCTGACGGCTCAGCCCTGCCGGACCCGGCCGTGCAGGAGGGTGCCATGAACTGAGAGCGCAGCGCCCCGCGGCTCGTCGCTCTTTGATTTTTTTTTTTTTTCCGTTCATTTTTCATCGTCTCCACCCCCCCCCCCAACGCTTTTTCATGAAAGCCTTTTAAAAAGGGGGCTCCTCTTCGCCTCCCCTGAGCCGAGTCGCCCCACTGCGGTGAGGATTTCCCGAGAAGATGGGGAGAAAAAAGATCCAGATCCAGCGGATCACGGACGAGCGCAACCGGCAGGTGGGTGCCCCCCTCCCCAAAACCCTTTTCTCACATATTTCCAGGGTTCCGTTTCTAGAATCCCCATTTCCACCCCCTTGGGGCCAACCTGTGCTTTTCTCTCCTAACTCATAAGGTAAAGAGACGGACAAAACTCAGCACCTGGGGCTGGATTCAGGCTGCTTGCGACAGTTGCCCAAAAACGGGGCAAATAGCCCCATTTTCTTGGGCCTGCCGCAGCCGCGTCCTGGAGCCGCTCGTGCCATTTCCATCTAAGTGCTTTTCCAGAAAAGCGTCTTCTCCACTTAGCTGCTGCTTTTCTATTTTTTTTTGTTCTTGCAGAAAATATATTTCGTTTGACATTTTCCGTGAGGTTTTTCCAACAAAAAGCAGCCGCAACAAGTCTCCATTTTTCTGAACGCAAACAACCCAAACAATTTTTATTTTTTATTTTTTTTTTTTCGCTTGAAAACTTCTAACTGCCCGGGGATCTTTGTTTTCTTTTTTTTTTTCTTGTGCCAGACTTGTGCTGGGCTGAAGCCAAGCCGCTGCCACGCGTGCCTGTGTGTGCATGCGTGAAAAACACAGGCGTGTATCTCAGAGTAAAAAAAAAAACACAAGTTTTTCCCTCGTTTTGTCTCTTTGCTGAGGCTGATGGGTGGAGTGGCAGCGCTTTGCTACAGCAGGTTTGCCCTGGGATGGATCCATCGATGTTTTTCCCGTAGCTGTGAGACTTCCAGCTGCAGGTGCCGCAGTGTGCCCCACTCTGCTTCTTTCCTGCTGCTTTTTTTTCTAAGGAAAACCCCAAAATCGTGGGCACGGTGCGTGTTCCTGGCGCGTAAAAGGTGGCAAGCGGCAAAATCCGCGGAGCTGTTTTATGGCTCTGCAGCTAAAGAAGAGAAAACCGCGGGTTCGCTTCCTCACGGCTTTATTTGGTGGTGCTGGGGGGACAGGACTGGGCATGAAATGATTTCGGTAAGGTCCCAAATGCTCACGGCACCGCTCGGTTCCACACCACGCAGGGCCACGAGGAGCTGTTACGGGGATGTGCCGGCGCTGCCCGGCCTTGGGTGTGCGCAGCCGGTCACCGGCTCGCCGTGGGAGGCTGAAACGAAGGGCGAACATTTGGTCACCCTGGGGCTTGGTGGCACAGCCCGGTGCTGCTCTAGAAGCCGTCGGGAAGGGGAAGAGGCGGCTCTGTGCCAGCAGCCGAGGCGGTGGCAGGCGTTTGTGGGGTGGCGTGGAGCCTCCGGCGGTGCCGCGGTGTTGGCCCCATGGGGAAGCAGCTTCGCGGGCTCAGGTCACCAGGCTCATGAACATCCCCGTTTTGCCTCATTTTGTTCGTTCCTCTCCTTCTCCTGCTGCTGCTGCAGGTGAGGGATGTCCGTGCCGGCACCTTGTGTGCAGCTGCTCGGCGAAACCGGCTTAAAACCAGGGTGAGGGCAGGCACGGGGAAGGGCTCGCTCTCCGTGCTGCGCTCCGGGGTTCGGGGAGCCCGAGGCTGCTGGATTACGCAGGGGTTTTGTGCTGCTGCCCTGCAGCCAGCTCGGATGGAGGTCCCGTGCTCACAGCCCGGCTGGATCCTGCAGCTGGCAAGGAGAGGGCTGCAGAGGGGGAATATTGTGGCAGCACCCACGTCCCCACCGGGACTGCTGCTCCCTCGGGTCCATCAGCAGCCATCCACGAGCCCGTGCGGAGGAGACCGGGATTACAGCAGAAGCCAAAGCCCGGGGAGGAAAGCGAGTAAGAGTCACTAATGTCATTAGGGGAATTACTGGAGAGGATTTGCCACGACAGATCAGACCATCAGCCCTTCAGGGCCAGGCTGCTGACTCTGGCAGCGGCCAATATGGTTTGCATCAGGGGAAAGGCAAAAAGCCACTGGTGGTGTGGGGCTGTGCGGGGCAGTAATTCCTTCCTGACCCCTTCGGTGATCGGCTTACGCCCCGAAGCATGAGATTTGATTACCCTCTTAGCCTTAGCAGGTTAATTCTTGGAGATGAGGCTCGCACCCGTGTGCGCCCCGGCCCCTGGGCTCGGCTCGGCCAGGTTTGGGGTTTCTCTCCCCTGTCCCCAGTGGATGTGTGGGGCGGTGGTGTCGGGGACAGTGGCACAATGGGGCTGGTTAAAGGGCAAATTTATGCTTCCCTCTGCGGGGCACCGAGATGGGGGGTGCTCCTGAGCCCTGTCCCCAACTTGTAGGGGAAACATCCCCTCGTCTGCAGAGCCACGGGGGTTTATTCGGTGCTTTGGGTCCTGCTGGTGGCTGCTCATTTTTGGGGTTTTTGTGACCCCCAGAGCAGGAGGGGGGGTCCCCACGGGTGTTCGGAACCCCTTGGCCCTCGAGCATCTCGCCGCGCGGATCCCGGCCACGTGAGCGCACGCTCGGAGCCGCTGGAGCACCGGGGCGAGCAGGCGCACGTGGCGGGGAGCAGCGGGCGAGGCGATTAGAGCTGAATCTCGTTAATGCTTAATCATCCCCGGGAGATGGCTGGGGGGTGGGGAGCGGGCAGCTCCCAGTCCCCGGGCTGTGCCGTGGCCGGCTCAGTGAGATGCGCTCCATCCATCGGCGCCGGGGTGGACGGGGAAGCTTGGGCAGCCTTGGGCTCAGCTCTTTTACTCCTCCAACCAGAGGCTGGTGGAAGCAAAATCCTCATCCACGCTCGTCCCGCCGTGCTTCGAGCTGAAGCTGTTGGGCTCTGAGGCCGTAATGGGGTCGAGCCCTCCCGTGCCCGTGGGCGGCGATCCCCCGGCTGCTGCCTCACCCCCAAGGGCAGCGCTCAAAGTGCTGTGGGAGCCTCCCTGCCTCTTTGTTCCTTTTTATTCCTGTTTTTTCGTCTTGATCTCGGAGCTTTGGCCAAGCATCGTGCCTTTCTCCAGCAGTAGGAGAACGCTGGAGGGTTCAGGGGGGGTTCAACATTTGCTTGAGGGTCCCCGGAGCATCTGGGTGTGAACCGACCCCAACCCAACCAGCGGGATCCTGCTGGGGCTGGGTTCAGGCTGTGAATTGCTTGGGTTTGGAGCTTGTGCCCAGCTCCCCGCAGCTGTGGCCACCTCATTCCCAGCCCCCCACCTTCTCCTGACCCCTGCACGAGGTGCTGGGGGGGGCTGTCGAGGTGCTAAGGGGGCACCTTGTTGGAAGCTGGGGCGGGATAGGTGCAGGAGATGCCCCAGCAATGTCACCAGCAGGGCAGGGAGGTGGCAGCAGGAGCCAAATCGCAGAGTGGGATGCACAAAGGGGCCAAACCAAGGCCAAAGGCTTTGTTCCCAGCACCCCTTTTCTGTGCTGGGGGGGGCTTGGCCCCAGCTCCCCTGCTCCTGGGGTCCGGTGCCATCCGAGTGGCCGTGGTGAGCGAGGAATTGCTCCGTGCTGCATGAATGTTGGGCTGGGAAAGAGAAAAAGAAAAAAAAACCAACAACCCTCAGCCCCCGGACAGATGGTAGCTCTGCTGGGGATTTTGCTGAAATTTCTTTTCTCTTGATTTGGCAATATGCGATTTCCAATGCTGATAATCATCTCTGTGCTTGTGAAGTGTCTGCCTCGCGCCCAGCCCAAAAATAGGCAGCGGCACGAATCCGCTGGGCCGCGTGAGCCTGCGGAAGAGGGAGGTGAGAGGGGAGAGCTTGGGGTCGTGGTCCCCGTGGGGGACCGAGGCCAGGAGACGTCCCTCTGCCCTTCCCTTTGGTTTCTCCCCCGGTGCTCATCCCGAATCCTCTCCTCTTGCTTCCAGGTGACCTTCACCAAGCGCAAGTTCGGCTTGATGAAGAAAGCTTACGAGCTGAGCGTCCTGTGCGACTGCGAGATCGCCTTGATCATCTTCAACCACTCCAACAAACTGTTCCAGTACGCCAGCACCGACATGGACAAGGTGCTGCTCAAGTACACCGAGTACAACGAGCCCCACGAGAGCCGGACCAACGCGGACATCATCGAGGTGAGGCCGGGGCCGGGGCCGGGACCGGGAGGGGGACGCGCAGATGCCTGGTGCCGGGCTGATTTTGCCTCTTTTTTTGGTTGAGCGTGCAAAAATCCTCGCTTCTGGGTGGTGGAGTTGGAAGCCACCTGGAGCTGGGTGCTGTTTTAGGGCTGCAAAAGCGAGGTGCGCTTTTGGGATTTGCTTTGTGGGATCTGCGCATGGTGCAGGCAAACCCAGGGTGGTTTTGGAGGCACCTCCTGGAGCTGCGGCGCTGGGCACGTGGCTGCAGCCGGTGCTGTTCCCCTGAAGCTGCTCCAGGTGCTCACGGTGGGGTTGCAGGATACCAGGACCTGCCTCACCGACTAATTCGGGCTGGGAGGGACCTTTGGGTGCCTCTGTGCCCACATCCCCTCAGGGGTGTTCACCGGGCGCCCCGCAGAGCGGCGATGGCACGAGGGCACCGCGCGCTCCTCACTGCGCGTGTGGGCAGCTCCCGTTTACGCCTGGGCAAATTCAGACAAACACAAGGGGCCGGACGGGTAATTATGGGCATTAATTAACACCGGGCAGGAATTAACACCCGCCGAGCCGTCAGGCGCTCGGGCAGCAGCAGATCAGAGCGGTGCCGCGGGGGGCTCGGGCGCTCCCCGGCACGGAGCCGCTCGGACCTCGCGCGGCGCGGCCCCGAAGCGCTGCAGGGATCGTCCTCCCCCGCCGCTCGGACCTGTCACTGCTGCCTTTGAATCCCTCCGGTGCAATTCAGCAGCCTCAGGCTTTGATTTCGTGAAGGGAAAAAAAAAAAAAAAAAAAGCCCACAGCCTAGCTCACGAATCAGATTTTTTATTGTTTTTTTTTTTCTCGCACCTCCCCAAAACGTCTCATTTCTGAGCTGTCCTCTGCGCCGGCAGCAGCACCTGCCCGCCCCATGGACCTTTGGAGACCTCCCTGCCTGCGCATGCTTGTCTGAAATTGTTCAAAATGCCTTTTCTGGACCCTTTTTGAGGCGCAGCAGCCCCGTCCCCGGGCAGGGAAGCGCCCTGAGCACCACGCGGTGGTTTTCCAGCCGCGGTTCCTCGCCCAGCCTCTCCAGGATGCTCATACTGGAGCTTGCGGCGTCGAACAGATTTGTCTTGGCCTAAAAATACCGTAAACATTTTGGGCAGCATTCTCTGTTCCCTTATGGTCCAAGATGCAAACACTCCCAAGCCGACAAGTTACACGCAGTCCTTGGCACCCAAAGAAATTCTGTGTTTGCACCACATGAAACGATGAATCTGCATCCAAAGCTGGAGAGAGGAGCGTCGGGAGGGGAAGGATCCGGGTGGATGGCGGGGAGGAGAGCCCGAGCTCGGCACGCAGAGCCGCTGTCACCCGCTCCCAAGCACGGGGAGATCCTGCTCGGGCAGGATTGAAGCTGCTCGAGCATCCGTCCTCGTCCCTTGGAGCAGGGCTGGGGCCGCTCCAGGGTTTTCCTGCTCCAAAGCTGACTGCAAGGGGCTGAGCAGCGGAGATTTGGCGGGGTGGAGGTGGCTGCGACACCCGTGTCCTGTCCCCCCAGGAGCATTGCAGCCCCCAACTCGGATGTTTGGGGGTGGCCGTGGGGCTGTTGGCAGCCCGGGGAGAAGCCCCTCGAGTTGGTTTTCCTGGTGCAAGGGGAGCGAGCGCGGGCTTATGGCAACGGGGATTTGGGCTTTTCTTTCACACCCGTGGTTTGAACGAGGATTTCACCTTTCTCCCCTTGAAAGAGAAAGAAGAGCGAGCAGCTGAGCACCCTCGGAACAAAAAACCACTGGATGGGAAGGTCCCGAAATTAAAAACCCCGGCGAGGGGCCGCGTTTACCCAAGCGCATCGGGAGGGGTTTCAGCCCCTCCGCTCTGCGCCCGGCCAAGTCCTGGCTGCGGCAAGCTTTTAAGTCCGAGAAAATCTCCCTGCCTGCACGGAGGGGGGGCTCCTTAATCGGCCGGGGGACAGCTGAGGCCCCCAGGCAGGCACGCTGGGTGCCACGTGCGCGCCCGGCCGGGGATCACGCCGGCTTTGCTCTCGCTGTCGCTCCTCGTTTCCCGCAGCCCCGCTGACGTGCCAGCTCCCGATGGATGGGGCAGAGCTGCGGGGGACCGGGGTGCTCCTGCTCTTAAAGTCAGGCTGCAAATCCCCTGCTTTCCCTGAGCGTCCCAGGGGAGCTGCATCTTGCTTAATTCTCCTTCCCAGGGCTGTGCTTGCATGGGTTCAGAGCCTCAGCCCCATCCTGGACCCCCCCAAAGCCAGAGGTGGTTTGGATCCCGGTCGCCCTCTTTTAGGGGAAGGATCCTGCATCCTGGTTGAGCATCATTTCCTCTCCATGCTCTGGGTTTCCTGCTCCTCTCGCACCCTCCTGAGGTTTAAACCCACTCCTGGATGAGGCAGGAAAGCCAGGAAAGGGCTTTTTTTTTTTTTTTTGGGGTGGGGGATGTGACCTTCTCGCCCTGGTTTCATCCTTGGAAAAATTCCTGATGTGAAGGTGTTCGTCTTCAACGGGCTTGGAATGAGAAGTGGGCGTTTTCCACTGGATGCAGCCCGGTGAAATAAAGGTTTCCTTTCTCTTCACGCCTTCTGCTTTTCCCCCTAGCAGCGGACCGACCCCGGTGGGGCTCGCAGGTTAATTACTGCAGGACTAATTGCATGAAGTGGCCGGGGAGAGGCCGTGGCACCGCTCCGGCGAGGCGACAGCAGCCGTAATTCTGCACTCGCTGCTCCGCTTGGGCAATAAATCCTGGGAATTTGGGGCAGATTCGGTGCATCTGGGCACTGCCTAAAGCCTCCTGCCCCAATTCTGGGCTTTGGGGCTTAGAAAGGAGGAGAGGGGGGGGTCCCACTCGGCTGCGACCTCCTTCAGGGAGGCAGGAGCTGACCCCAATGGGGGCTTCGACCGCGGTTGGAGGGGATTTCCAGGGGTGTGAGGGGTTTCTGTGCTGTTTTGTGCAAAAAGAGAGAATTGGGGAGCCGTGAGGGGGGCACAGCCCTTATTAGACACCGGAGAATCTCCCCAGCACGGCTCCTGCCGCACGCATCTGGAGGAAACCCGGCTTCATCGCTTCCACGGCTCACGGAACGGCGTTTTCCACTTTGCCCCTGGAAGGGAGAGAGGGAGAGAGGGAGGAAAAACTCTTTGCGGAGCAAGGAGAGAGGCTCAACTTTCCGTCTCCCAGCCCCGGCAGCGAAACAAAAGGTTTTGGAAAAGAAATACGCAAAAAAAAAAAGCACTTTCCAAAAAAAAAAATGGTGAAGCCGTCCCTTCCCCGCTGCGGGAGCGCGGGGCTGTTTCTGGCCCGTTCTAAAAACAAACAAGGGCACGCACAAAAATAGCAAAATAATTGGGAAAAATCCTCGGGAACCTTGAAAAAAAAAAACACCAAAAAAACCCGCCCAGCCTCGGGAACCTCCCCTTCGGTGCTGCCCTCGGGGTCAAGCCCCAGCTCCGATGAAATTCGCTCGCAGCCGTGCCAGGAAAGGGGCATTCCCAGCACGTCTGCCCCTGCCTGCACTTCCCTGGGGAAAGGGCAACAAATGGCACGATTTTGTAGGATTTTGGGGTACAACAATTCCAAAAGGGGCTTCGGATGGCGCCGCGGTGCTTGGGCGAGGACGCAGCCAAGTCCTGGGGTGAAAAGCCCGGGCACGAGGGAGGCACGAAGAAATTGGGCTGCTTTTTTGGGGATATTGTGTCCAAATCCGTTCGTTTTCCTTCCTTTTGGGGCTGAATTCCCTGCGCCATCGGGTGAGCAGAAGGTCGGGGAAGTGCCTCGGGTGGGTGATGGAGAAAGCGTCGAGGCACGGCTGCAACGTGGGGGGTTTGGCTGGAGATTTGTGAAGTTTTCAGGGGCTGCAGCGAAAAAAAAAAGCTATTTTGGGGCAAACCACACCACCCGTACGGCCCCCAGGTAGATGGAGAGCCGCTCCAGGATGTTTTGGCCCCAAAACAGAGCTGTTTATTGCTGTTTCGGAAGACAAGAGGAGAATTGTCAAGGCCTTTTTTTTTTTCTTTTTCTTTTTTTTTTTTTTTCCCCTGCTGGATTTGGCATGAAAAGGGACCAAGACTTCCAGGAAATTCTGTAGCTTTGACTTTCAAAAAAAAAAAAAAAAAATAGAAAAAAATTGGCACGCGGCGGTTCCATAATAACGCCTAATTGCCTTTGGTATTTTGAAAATAAAATGATTAAATGTGCCTGCGTAAAGCAATCTGCAGCTCAGCTCCTGAGCACGGCGGAGGGGCTTTTTGCTCCAAAACCTGCCCGGGGTCTTTGTGCCCACCCCATGTGAAGTGGACGGACCCCAAAGCTGCTGCACGGTGCTGGGTGATGAGCCCAGGCCTGCTTTTTGCCTTTTTTTTAATTTTTTTTTTAGGTTTCCTACCTGGAATAACGTTTTTTGTGTTTCTAGCAGGAGAGCGCGCCCCAGATTTAGGGTTTATTTCCCCTCCTTGTCTCTGCGGTGACCCTGGGTGACAAAAACCTCTCCGAGCTGGTGCGGGGCCGAACTCAGCACCGGCACAGTCAGGAAAAATAGGAAAAAAAAACAAAAAAAAACCATGAAATCCAGGAAGTTTCTCTCCATCCATCCACCAAAACCCCTTTAGGACCCACGCGGCGCTGACCCTTTTTAATGCCACCGTGCGCCCCAAATCGGGGGGCGTTTTGGGGGGTCTCCACCCGTCCCCGAGGGCTGCCCGTTGTCCCCAGATCTCAAAGTGTCCCGGTTGTGTTTTCAGACGTTAAGAAAGAAAGGTTTTAACGGCTGTGACAGCCCGGAGCCCGACGGAGATGACTCGATAGACCAGAGCCCCTTGATGGAGGATAAATACCGTAAAGGCAGCGAGGATCTGGATATCCTATTCAAGCGATACGGTGTAAGTACCTGCCCCGTGGCCGGAAAACCTTCATTATTTGTTCTTTTTGTTTTGTTTTTCTTCTGTTCGATTTCCTCCCCCCCCCTCCCCGACCTCGTCCCCGACACCCCCGTGTCCCCCGTCCCCCCATCCCCACCCCGCACGTCACAGGCGCTGAACAAGAAGCACAGGGAGTGCGAGAGCCCGGAAGGGGACGAAGTGTTTGCGTTGACCCCGCAGACGGAGGAGAAATATAAAAAGATTGATGAGGAGTTTGATAAAATGATGCAGAGTTACCGGCTCGCAGTGAGTAGCTGGTGGTCTGCAGCCCCCCCGCCCCCCCAATTCCCCGGCCGCCTCCGGGTGACGGGGGTCTTTGCATGGCTTTGCTTCGGAGCCGTGCTGTGCCGTGGGAGCCGATGCACCAGGGCCCCGAATGCACCCGAAAGGGCAGGAAATTGGGGAGAAAAAGGGGAAAAAGTGGCTTCTAGGGGTGGCGGCACCGGGGACCCTCGGGGTCCCTCCGGTTTCCCAGCTGGAGGAGTGGGAACAGCCCCAGGGTGGGCAGCTGGGGGTGCCTCCGCTCCCTGGTCCCCAAATTCCAGCCTCCTTTTTTCCCCTAAAAGGGGTTTTCCCTGGCTTCTGCCCCCCGAAATCCCCACGAGCCGGCAGGGAGCAGACGGGGTCAGCCCGGTTTGGGCGATTCCGCCTTAATTCCCCCCAAATCCATCAAGCCCTCGGGGCAGCTGGCGGCCGTGGCAGGAATCCAGGCAGGTTTTAGCCCCGTGATCCCAGGCCCGTCAGCGGGGTGGCATCGGGACAGCGCTGGAAGGGATTTGTGTCAGGAGGAGGAGGTAGGGGGGGGGACACGAGCGTGTCAAATTAGTCATTAGGGCAAGGCAGCGAGGGCTTGGAGCAGGGGGGATTAGCCCCGAGTCGCTGCCGAGCGCACGAGGGAGGCGAATTTTCAGGGCTGGCTGCGGCGTTAGAAAATTTCACGCCCCCTCCCCAGGAAAAAAAAAAAAAAAAGAAACACAAAAACCCCAGATCTGCCCTTCTGCGCTTCTCGCAAGCCCACGCGAGTGAAAATCGGGGCTTTTCTCGAGATTTGGGGCTGGTGAAATCCACCTCCCTTGCTTTTGCTGACTCAGCTGCCGAAGCACGAGGCGTTTTCGCCCCGGTGCCGCTCGCCCGGCGGCGACGACGACGATGACAAGGACGAGGTTCCAACCCCTTGATGGGGCTTGTATGGGGTGGGGGGCACGGCCCCGGCCCCCCAACTCCCCGCAGACCCCAGGGGGGCTCCCCGTGCCCACCACGGTTCGGCAGGTGGCATTCGGGCGCCGGGGATTGAGGCCAGGGCATCGGGCTCCCCGACTAAACCCAGGGCCGGAGCGGTGCCGGCGCTCGATGCCGCCGCTTCTCCTTTTTAACCGGCTGCGGTGTTTTTTTGTTTTTTTTTTTTTTTTTGTGTGTGTGTGTGTGTGACCAGAACTAACCGGGGGCGCTAACAGCAGCCTTGCTCGCTCCAGAAGCCTCTGCGTTTCGCAGCCTGTTTGCCAAGGCTTTGGGTGAAAGCAGAACCGGGCGAAGCCTGGCTCACGTCTGCGTCTTCTCCCCCAGATTTCGGCCGGAGACGCGCGCCGTGCGCCCCCGGGTCCCGCTCGTGCCCCCCACCCCGGGGTGCTGGCACCGGGGGCACCTGGCACCGGGTGCGGAGGTGCTGGGGGCTGGAGGCGGGTTAAGTCCAGGCTCTGCTCTCCGGCCCCAGCCCTCCTGGCTTTGCCACGGCATCGCCGAGGCCGCGCCGCGTTCGCTCGTCCTCCCCCTTCCCAGGGACACGCGGAGATTTCTTACACAACGCCGCCGCTTCGTTGTTCACACGCCCAACAAAACCTGCTCCCCCTGCCTCTCTCCCCTCCCTCCCTTCCCCCTTTTTTTTTTTTTTTTCTCCTTTTTCTCATTGTTCTGAGCTCGGGGAGGGCTCGGCATCAGGGCCAGGAGGGGATGAGCCCGGTGCCCTGGAGCCTCCCGGCGCCGTGGGGCAGCGCGGGCTGGCAGCAGCCGCAGGATCTGTGAAGGGCAGGATGCCCTTGAGCGGGTGGGAGGGTTTCCAGCAGCCAGCTGGGCGAGCACCTTCCCTTCTCCCCTCCTCTCCTCTCCCCCTAAAGGAATTCGAGGCGTTGGGGGATGCTCTGCTCCCCTTGCCCTTCGGGGCTGGCCCCGCGGCGATGCCCAGCGGCACCGGGGCGCCGTGCCGTGCCAGCCCCCGGCAAATTAAAGTGGGACTTTAGCAAAGCCTCTGCTAAAGCCTCTAAGCAGGTGCCTGCTCCTGTTAATGAAGAGCAAATCAGTGACATAAGAGAGGCTGATGGGATAAGCACGGCGAGCCTGGCTCCCGCGGGGACGCCGGTAGGTGAAACTGGGCCTCGACCCGCGGCCGAGGATAGGGCTTGAGCCACGCTCCTGCTGCCCCAGCTCGCCTCCTCCTCCTGCCCTGCAGCTCCTGGTGGTGGCAGGACAGACCCCGGTGTCACCAGGAGGGGATGAGGTGACACCAGCCTGCACCGGGGGCTTGGCACCAAGCGGAGCCTGCCCGAGCTGCGGGGTGTCCGTGGGGCAGCGGTGCTGGGTTAGGGGGCTTGTCCCAAACTGGGAATGGCCTCGTGAGGTCCCCCTGGCCTCTGCCGTGGGACAAAAGGAGGTGTCAGCTCCCCTCGGGGCACCCCAGGGCGCTGCACCCCCCTGTGATGCTTTGAGTCACGTCCTGCTGGGGCTGCTCTGGAAACACGTGGCCGGACACCAGGGGTAAATAAATAATTTTGGCCTCAAAGAGAGGCGAAGCGCCTGGTGGCGAAGCGTGGCTGTGTCCGAGCGAACCCCCGGCTGCTTTTCCTGGGGGGTCCAGGCTCCTGTGCCGGGGTCCTCAAGTCACCGGGATTTAGGGCAGCAGCGAGGGGGTTTGGGGTGACCAAAGTGGCCCCGCTTCAGCCGTAGGACATCGCCTGCCCGACGGCCCCCCTTTACCTCCCGCTCTCTCTTCAGTCCGCAGTGCCCGCGCCGAACTTCGCCATGCCGGTGACGGTTCCCGTGACCAACCAGAGCACGCTGCAGTTCAGCAACCCGGGGAGCTCGCTGGTCACCCAGTCCCTCGTCACCTCGTCGCTCACCGACCCCCGGCTCCTCTCCCCGCAGCAGCCGGCGCTGCAGAGGAACACCGTGTCCCCGGGGCTGCCGCAGCGGCCGGCCAGCGCAGGTGAGCGGCACCCCCACGATAAGGGACACCCTAAAATCCCCCTCCTGGGGGTCCCAGGGACCGTGTCCCCCCTCCTCGCCCGGGTGTGCTTCTCCAGAGCAGGATGTTTCAGAGCCAGGTGGAGCCAAGTCACCCGGTGCCAGTGCTGGCTTGGAGGTGGCAACCGGTGTCCCCTGTGCTGGTGGTGCTGGGGGACACCGGGGGACACGGGACCGCTGCGTAAAAAGGGTTTTTTTGGCTGCAGTTGGTCCCTGAGCTGTCACCGGTTGTAGGAGCGGCTGCTTCCAGCAGGGACTGGTGGCTGAGGGGAGGTTGGGGAGAGGCTCGTGTCACCCACATCCCCTGCAGCACGGGGGGGGGGACACAGGGCTGGGGACGTGTGACCTCAGCCCGGCTCTCCCGCGATGCGGTCATAAATAATAATAGCGTGCAGAAAGCCCCCGCCTGCTATTTTGGATGTCGCAGATGGTCCGAGCCAGGCGCACAGGCTGCGAGCGGCAGAGGCGAGGACGTGGGAAGGGGGCCAGGGGGTGCCCCCAGCAACCTCTGGAGGGGCCAGGGGGTGGGATTTCAGCTGGACACGACAGGAGCCGTGGTTCGGAGGTGCCTCGTTCGCTTTCTGCTCCTTCTGCGCAGCCTCGGGGATGGCTGAAAGCTCTTGGAGCTGAGGAGCAGCCCCTGTTTTTTGGGGAAGGCTCTTCGTGCTCCGGGGCTGGTCCCAAAAGGCAGCAGCTCCCCCCAGGACGGGGCAGAGCCCGAGCCCTGTGTCGAGGCTACCTGCAGGCATCGCCCCTGCCCTGCTGCCGGCCTCTGCAGGAAAAAAAAAAAAGAGGCTTCACCGCAAGGCAGAGCCCGCTCGACGCTCGCAGTTTCCATCCAGCTCACGAAGCGTTGGTTTCGGGGGGGGGATAATTTGGTGGTTGGGAGCTCAGAGGTGTTCCAAGTCCAACCATCTGCGTTTCATTCACTCGCTGCCTGGGACACGGAAGAAATCCTGTTTATAGGAGCCAGGCCTTCGCATGTTAGAAGAGCTATTTCTTTTCTCTCTCTTTTTTTTTTTTTTAAGCAATGCGCTCGAGAGGGGCGCAGAGCGCTGCGTTATTGTTTCCAAAGCGAAGGCAGCGCTGGCTCCGTGTCCCTGCGCTCACTGCTGCCGCCTGCGTGGGGACATCACGGGCACGGGGCAATGGCCAGGGAGGGTTTTGGGGGCTGGGATGGGGTCAGCATCGCCCCCACAGCAGGCTGAGCCTGCTCTTGGCCCCCAGGCTTTGCTGTGCCGGTGAGGGTTGGGGGCGCACGGGGTCCTGCCTCTCCAAGCTGGGTTTTGGAGCTGTCGGGCACGGTTTGCGCTTCCATCCCCTAAGGCAGCGCCGTGTTTGCCATGCCTCTGGGGTCACCGTGCCCTTCACCACACCATAATTTATTTTGGGGACCACCCCAGCCCACGGTCCCACTTCCACGCAGAGGGCGAAGGCCCTTCCCGGCACGGCAGCCCCCAAAGCACTTCTTCTTTCGGGGGCTCGCTGCAACCCTCAGCCCCCGCTCTGGCAGCAGGTTCCCGTCCCCTCTTCCCCCATTTGGGGCGAGGAGTGAGGTGGGTCTGTTTTTTGGGGAAAAAAAAGGGCCCCGGTGTGCTTTTCCCAGCCCTATCCAAGCGCTCGCCGTGGTGCAGCGGGGCCGTGGGGCCGTTTTCCGTGCGGGGCGAGCGTTGCAGGGCAGGTTGAGTTTCACAAGCGGGGGGGTTTCACAAGCTGGGGGCTCCCTTCCCCGCAGCACGGGCCCCGTGTCCCTCAGGAGGGTTTGGAACAAAACAGCCGCAGTGTTTTCCGAGCCGTGCGCTTCGGACCGGGCCCCCCGTGCCGCCTGGCTGCTGCCCAAAGGAAACGGATCTGCCTGGATATTGTTTCCAAACCCCATCACCAGGAATGCTGCTCGCTTTCGCCCGGGACTTTTCTCCCCGGGAATGCGACGCCGCTGATTTCCATCTGCCTTCCTCCCTCGTGTTCCCCCCTCCTCCTCCTCCTCCCTGCTCCCCGTGTTCCCGAGCTGCCTCTGACCCCCCCTTTTCCGATGGCTTTTCAGGGGCGATGCTCGGCGGAGACCTGAACACCACGAACGGAGCCTGCCCGAGCCCTGTGGGTAAGTGCGGGGCAGCTCCCTGGGCTCTGTTTGCAGCCCCGTGCCTCAGTTTCCCCATAAATCCTACAGGGACAGGGGTTTCCCTTCCCATTCAGAGCAGCCGGGGGAGGATGGAGAAGCGCCGGGGAGGATTTGGTGGCTCTCGGTCCCACTGGCAGAAGGGTTTTGCCCACGCTGCCCTGAGCCGACGCATTTCCTCGAGGCGTTTCGGCACAGATCCAGGGGTTTTGGGGTCTCTGTGGGGCTCCTTGGTTTTGGGATTGCCGCAAAGCACGGGGCTGGTGTTGGGCAGCCACATGGCGGGGATTTGGGCAGCTCGGCATTTCGCTCCCCGAGCCAAAACCCGCTCCTCCCCTGACCCCGGGTGAGTCACTTAACACCTGATTCCTCCTCGCGCCTGGGCCCTGTAAAGGAACTTTTACTGCGAGGAAAAAAAGCTCATTAAGGGCCCCTTTCCACTGCGAGAGCCCCGGCGCTAACGAGGCTCAGCCCTTGTGGCTTAGCTCCCCGGCTATAAAATGAGCTAATAATGCCTCCTGCCTCTGCTGGAAGGCTTCGGGGCCGGCACCGGGACCGGTGCGCACCCAGCAACAGCTCCTGGTGCCCCCCCGGAATGGGTGCTGCCCCCCCAGGATGGGTGCTGCCCCCCCAGGGAAGGTGACCCCACACCCAGCACCCCAACCACCCCATTTTGCCGTGGCTTTTCCAGCCACCACCACACTTGGGGTTCGCCGTTTCCCCAGTTAAAACCCAACTGGGACCCGGATCCCGCTGCTCCAGCGGCACCCCCGGCCCTACAACCGCCCTGGGCTTGGGATGAGGGGGATTGGGGGGGGGGGCTCTGCGGCCCCCCGAGGCCGCCCGCCGCCCCCACGTCAGCTGTCGCGAGCAGCCGCGGAGCTTGGCAGGGCCGGTGAATGTCAGCATTGACGTCAGCGCAGCATTCCCCGCGTGCCGATGGGCTCGGTGGCCCCGGGGGCTCCCCGAGCCGGCCGACGGAGCCCGGGTGGGTTTTGGGGGTACCCGGGGTATCTCCTCCCCCCTTCTTCCTCCTTCTCCTCTTCCTCCTCCTCCTCCTCCTCCTCCTCCTCCTCGGCTCTGCACCACCGTCACCTGCTGCCTCTGAGTCATCGGCCGCCGTGCCTCTGGCCCCGATCCCGCAGCGACGCAGGCGGCATCCCCAAATCCAGCGCCCCCGGTGCTGCGGGGAGGGGGGCGAGCACCCTGCCCACCCCCGGCCTCACCGCAACGGGGACGGGGGGGGGGGGTGGCAGCAGCAAGGGGCCTCGCTGCAATCCTGACTTTTTTTTTTTTTCTTTTCCATTTTTGACTTGCTCTTTGCCATTTTTGCTTTTTTTTTTTACGTCTTTTTCTTTGCCGTTTCTGAATGTTTGACTTTTTTTTCTGCTTTTTCCCCCCCCACGATGGCCGTGCCGGCGGGGCAGGGGGCTCTATCCCAGGCAGACCACCCCGAACACTGCACACAGGGGGGTGTCAGCATCCCTCCGAGCTGCAGTTGCCATGGGAGCCGCGCACGCAGCGGTGGCAGCGCCACCTTAGCAAGAAAAATTTCACTTTTTAACACTTTTTTTTTTTGGGGGGGGTGGCTCTGCCTCCACCTCCGAGCTTTGGCACAGCTCCGGGCTGTTGCCACCGGCGCTGAGGATGCGCCGCGGGTGGTGAAGGTCACCCAAAAAATGCCACGAGCATCGGAGCCGGGGGCTTTGCACGCTGCTGGGGAGCAGCTCCCGGTGCACGGGGGGCGATGCTCAGGACCCCGTGTGATGCTTTAGGGCCGGGGGGGGGTCGGCCCCCTCCCTTGGGGACGCTGCCGTGAGCGTTGCCAGCGTGCCGGGGCAGCGCCGCTGCCACCAGCCGCCTGCTGAAATGCAGATGTAGCAATGCCATGGTGGATGTGATTAATAATGCAATCAGCGACCTATTTTTCCCGGTCTAACGTGCAATGAATATGAGGGCTGAATCCTGGTGATTGCTAAACGCCTTTCTATCTTTGGGGCCTATTCATAAAAAAAAAAAAAAAAACCCTCATCAGAACAGTAATCTGATCCAATTTATTCCTTTCCTGATGTTCATCAAATCTTTTCCTTTTTAAATTTTTTTCTTCCTTTCCTTTCTTCTTTTTTTTTTTTTTTTCTCTCTCTCCTCTTTGCACACAAAAATCCTTAAGTGGAGCAGCGGGAGGAGGAGGAGGAGGAGGAGGAGGGATGCTCAGATCTTCAAAGGGGCAGCAGGATCAGTGAACCGGCTCCTCTGCTCCGCCACAGCCCCTTTTGGCTACTCCGGTCCCAAAAAAGGGGCCTGAAAAGTGAACGTAAGAGTAATTCCTCCCCCTCCCCAGGGCCCTGGTGCCCTGCTGGAGAAGCACAAGGAGTCATCACCCCGCGAGTTACCGCTGGTTATTGCGGTGATGCCCTGCAGGCGAGGAGCTGCCCGGCTACGGGGGGCTCCGTGCACACCGGGGTGGGACCTTGGGGCACGGCCGCAGCCCTTCTCACCTCCTCCTCGTGCCCTTTTTCCCCGCAGGCAATGGCTACGTGAGCGCCCGCGCCTCGCCGGGCCTCCTCCCCGTCTCCAACGGCAGCACCTTGGGCAAAATCATCCCGGCCAAGTCCCCGCCGCCGCCGCCCCCCTCGCACGGCGCCCAGCTGGCCGCCAACAGCCGCAAGCCCGACCTGCGTGTCATCACCTCGCAGAGCGGCAAGGGGCTCATGCACCATTTGGTGAGCTGGTTGGGGGATTTTTGGGGACGGGTGAGGGGCTCACGGCCCCCGTGCCGGGTACCGGGGAGGGAGCTTTGCCGCGGGGGCGCGCGGTGGGCACGGGCAGCGGGGTTAACGGTGCCTCTCGGTTTTCTCCCCGTTCCTGCGCGGGCAGACGGAGGACCACTTGGCTCTGGTGAGTTGCCTGCTGAGTGCGCATCGTGGCGGGGCGGGACGTGGGCTGCTCGTCCCCGTTGGCCCCGCATCCTGCCCCGGCTCTCCGCCGGGAAAGCCACCGGCACGGGCACCGCTGCCCCAATCCCGAGAACAAGTCCTTTTTTAGGGAAAGCAGAAGGAAGATCTCAATCGCAGGCTAGGACGTGAGCGCAAACCCTGCTGGCCTCCCCCAGGGGCTCAGCCAGGTCCCCGTGTGCCACCCCCAACCTTCACCGGGGTCACCACAGCTTGTGGCATGGGGAGACCTGGCCTGATGCCCCCCCAGGAGCGACGGGGGGCGAGGCAGCCTCTTCCCATGGGGAGGATGTTATTTAAAGCCCGAGCGAATCCTCCAAGCCCGCTTTGCGCACAGGGGCCGCTCTCCCTGTTATTTTTGTGGCAGTTTTTCCTTTTTTTTTTTTTTTTTCCTGCCAGCAAAGTGAACGCCACCTTGCTGGTGGCCGTGATTCACTCGGCTCCGTTGCTATTCTGGTGCAGGGCAGATGGGCGGCAGGGCAGCGCAGCGAGGAGAGGGCGAGAGCCGCTGCGGGACGCAGCTCCCACGGCCAGGGAAAAGCTCTCCAAAAGCCTCTGCAGCCTGCGAGGAGACGCTCCTGGCCAGGGCGAGGATGCCGAGCAGGGCTTTGATGAATCCCACCGGATGAATTCTCCTGCTCCCCGTGCCCTCCAGACGTCCTGCCTTCCCCTCCCTGGCAGCGCCGTGCCTCAGTTTCCCCAGAAAACATGTCCTAAACCTCCTGCCCCTGCATGGGATCTGCCCCGCTGTCCCCATCGGGGTGCTGCGGGTGACCTCTGGCTCCTCGGGGGGCTTTTTGGGGTGCATTGGAGGGGTGCCCCCCGTGTCCCTGCAGGATCTGCTCCCCACGAGCATGGTGATCGCACCTTTGGGGCATGCCTGCATGATTTGGGGGAAGCTTTGGGGGGCTCGCAGCGCTTTGCAACCTGCCTGGCACCGGGGGTGGAAAGCTTGCACCCCTTGGCACGTCTCCCCTGCATGCATCGGGATCAAAGCTTGGGGAGGGGGCTCCCTGCAGCACAGCCGGGGCTGGCACCCCTGGGCAAAGGGGCTGGGGGCTGCAGGGACGCATCCTGCTCGCTCTTGCCATGCACAGGACGGGGCCGAGCCCACCACCACCACGGCGTTTCCCTGCAGCATCCCTGCCCCAGGGGTCAGCGGGCGCCGGCGAGGGCGCGTGCCAGCGGGATGCACGCCAGGACAAACCTTCCCCGCCGGCCCCGGGGGCTTTAGCAATTAGCACCCTGCTAATCACCTTCCCTGCCTGGCTGCAGCACCCAGCACCCTGCCAGGGCAGGGTTCAGCCCAGGAGGGCCCTGGGAGGCTGCAGATCATTTCCCAGCCCCAAAATGCCACGGGACCCCCGGGGACCCCACGCTGGTGCCCGCTGCGCCGCGGAGGACGCGGTGGCCTCGTGCCGGGCGCGGTGGGAGCCGGGCACTGCCTCCCTGTGCAGGGTGACGTGTGTCGGGGTGCTGCAGCTTAGAGGCAAGCCTCTTGAGTCCGGTTTAAATCAGATCAAGCAGAGGCAGCGCAGATTATCTGCCTTGTAAACAGGGCTGAAGCCGAGCCGCCGAGCCGCCCACGTAGCTGCCTCTCAAACCCCGGGGGGAGGCCGGCGCGCGCCCCTCCGAGGGCAGGATTTTTCCGCAGCGCACCCGCTGACACCCAAGCCCCCCCAAACCCCACCAGAACACCAGCCCCACGAGGGCACCAGCCCCACGAGCTGCCGAGCACGGGGTTTTTTGGGTGCGAGGAGGCCGGATCGCCTTCCAAACCCGGTGCTGCAGCTCGCCTTGGAGGCTGGGGAGGAGGAGGAGGAGGCGTCAGCCCCGCGCGGCGTTAGCCAGCGCTGATTTTGTTCCGCGCCTTTCTCCCAGCACAGCAGTCACATGCATCCTCTGGAAAATAGTGCCTGTTCCTTTTCTTCTTTTTTTTTTTTTTTTTTTTTTTTTCACATCAGAAGGGAGCTGGGAGGGTGGGTGCCTTATGGAAGCCGTTGAGGCTGCGCCCTCCCAGCCCTGAGCAGAGAAGTGCTCCGATGCCCACCCAAACACCCCCAAACCTCCCAAGTCTCCTAAAAACCTCTAACCGGTGGGCTTCGTGCTGCAAGGAGGAACACCCAGAGCGTTTGCTTAGCCCCAGGACCCGCTTGGGGAGGGGATTTTTTTTGGGGGGGGACATCAGGGCGCAGCGCAACCCCTTGTAACATCCTCTCCATTCGCTTCCCCAGCAGAACACGCAGCGGTTAGGTGTCTCCCAGGCGACCCACTCTTTAACCACGCCGGTGGTTTCGGTGGCCACCCCGAGCCTGCTGACGCAGGGGCTGCCTTTCTCGGCCATGCCCACCGCCTACAACACAGGTAAGGAGCTCTCAGCCCCGGGGGGGGCACGCTGCAACCGTGCCGTTCCAAGGGGGAAACGCGCCCGGGGCTCCCCGGGCAGCTCCGTGACCAGGCGTGGAGAGGTCCAGGAGCTTCACAGGATTAAAAACGAGATGAAGCTCGTTATATAAATATAGTGGGACCTGGCTGTTATAGCCAGAAGCGCTGTAAGGGCACGGTTCTGGTGCTGCAGCCCACTGCAGGGCGCTGGCAGCGCGGGGAGGTGCTGTTAAGCGGCTGCTAATTGCAGCTACGCCCAGCTCAAGGCGAGCCGGGGGCGATGTTGTAACAGGGGCTTAACGAAAATGAGCGTCGGGGACCCAAAAGTTGGGGAAGAATGCAAACCGTCCTGCTCCTGGGCAGAAACGGGGCTGGCGCGGGGCGCGAGCCCAAGCGGAGGGCTTGTCAAAGCTCCCGGAGGTTTCAGGGCTCTCCTGCCTGACTCCTTCTGGCGTTTGCGCCGAGAAAAGTTTGCAAAAAATGTCGAAAGCTGCTGGGCTGGAAGAACCCGGGTTAGGCGTGCTGGGAACTCCCTGCCGTTAATTAGTAGGTGTTGCCCAGGAGATGTTTGTGCGTGGCGGGGAGGCTCCTCTCCTCCCGTGGAAGTCGTCCTCGGCCACCGGCGAGCCTGCCTATTGCCAAAATCCCCAAAATAGGCTTTAATTGGGCCCCGTGCTGCTGCCTGCCCACGTGGCTTGGGGCTGAAGGTCAGCTTTTGGGGTTTCTTTTCCTGCTGAGATGAGCCACGGGGGGGAGAAGCGATGCCCACCCAGGCGCCTGGGGTGTCTGTGGCTGGGGTGTTCGGTGGAGGCGCTGCGGGGGCTTGGGGTCCTCACCAAAACCCCAACCCCATGCCCTGGCTGTTGGCCCTCATTTCTCCCAACCTGCCAACTCGCTGGGGAGTCTCTTTGGGGCCGTGGAGCTGACCTGGAGCTTCCCAGGGCCCTTCCTAGTGCCAAACCCGGTGGCTCGAGGCTGCTGGAGGAACCGGGGGGTGCCAGGAGCTCCCCAACCTGACGGGCTGGTGCTGGGGTGAGAAGAAAAACCCCGTGTGGGGCAGGAACGTGGTGTGGGGAGGGTGCACAGGGTGTGCCTCCTGCCAGCCCGCCGGCCCTGGCAGCGGTTCAGCGCCTTCGCAGCCACCTCTCCATGCGCCTGAAACCACAGGCGCCCGAAATGACAGAGGGGAGAGGGAGGAGCGGGGTCGGGGTCAGGCTCGCTCGGCCGTGGGGTGGCCGTATCAGATGCAGACGTGGCTCCGAGGACGGAGCCGGTCGCGGCTTTGGATGGCTCCTGGATAAAGCAGCTCCCTCCCCGGCCCTGCAGCAGCGGGAGAGTCATCACCGCTCCCTGCAGCCCCATTTTCTGCCCTTCATCCCAATGTCCTCCCTGCATCCCAATGTCCTCCCTGCATCCCAGTGTCCTCCCTGCATCCCAAGTTTCTTCCCTGAATCTTGATGGCCTCCCTGCATCCCAGTTTTCTTCCCTGCACCCCAGCAGCCTCCCTGCATCCCAATTTTGTTCCCTGAACCTCAATGGCCTCCCTGCACCCCAGTGTCCTCCCTGCATCCCAATTTTTTTCCCTGCACCCCAGTGTCCTCCCTGCATCCCAATTTTTTTCCCTGCATCCCAGCAGCCTCCCTGCATCCCAATTTTCTTCCTTGCATCGTGGTGGCCTCCCTTCATCCCAGTGGCCTCCTTCCATCCCAGCACCCTCCCTTCCATCCCAGCGCCCTCCCTCCCATCCCAGCACCCTCCCTGCATCCCAAATTTCCTCCCTGCATCCCAGTTTCCCTCCCCTTCCACCCCAGCAGCCTCCCTCCACCCACGCGGAGGCCCGGCCACAGCTCCCAGCGGCGGCCGGGCAGCGCCATCTGCTGATGCGCAGCGAGGGGCTGGGGGCGCACAGAGCCATGGGGTGCCCCCCCCTCACCCACCCCCTTTTTGGCTCCTGCTGCCCCTTCCTGGTGCTGCCTGGGCTGGGGGAGTGCAGGGGGGGTCCCCTCGAACCCACCAGCCCCCCGTGCCGGTGAAGGTGCCGATTCCTTCGCTGCGCTTTTGGGGAGCTGCAGCGGGCGGTGGGGGCTGCGTGGGGGGCTCCTGGGGAGGGGGCTCGTGCCTCGGAGCTGGGAGAGAGGTGCCCCGTGGCCAGCGCTGCCGTGGGACTCGGTGCCAGCCGTGCTGCTGCTCACGTTGACGTTGTGCTGCTCCTTCCCTTGCAGATTATCAGCTGACGAGCGCTGAGTTGTCCTCGCTGCCCGCATTCAGCTCTCCCGGGGGCTTGTCCCTCGGCAACATCTCTGCCTGGCAGCAGCAGCAGCAGCAGCAGCAGCAACAACAGCAGCAAGCAGCAGCAGCAACAGCAGCAGCAGCAGCAGCAACAACAGCAGCAACAGCAGCAGCAGCAGCAGCAGCAGCAGCAGCAGCAGCACCTCGTTCCCGTCTCGCTAGGGAACTTAATGTAAGTGACACGGGTACCGTGGGCGGCTCAGTTCGTGCTGCAAAAGGGGAGAAAAAAAAACAAAAAGGGAAAGGGGAGCCTGTCCCCGCTGTCCTGGCAATGAGCAGGGGTCCCCAGGCGAGGTCGGAGACTCGGGGGGGATTTCGGAGAGCTGTGGCTGGAGATTTGGGGGTCCTGGCGCATCGCTCCCTGATGGGGGGAGCTGAGGTCCAAAAGGGGGCAGAGTCCCTGGGGTGAGCGGTGACGGGGTGACCGTGGAAGGATGAGGTGACTACAGAGAGCGGTCCTGCTAGTGCAGGGGGAGTAACTCCTAGTGCAGGCGGTGAATTGCTCGAATTAAAAAGTCCTGCACGGTTCCCTCGTGGAGCAGCTGTGCAGAAATGGACCTGCTCGCAGCCAGGAGCAAAGCAGCCACGTGCCCGGAGCTTTTTCAGGGAGTTTCGGTCAAAACCAAGGTCTAAGCAGCAAGCCCTCGGTCGCACAAAGGCTGTGAGGCAGGGATTTTGGAGAGAGGGGCTCAGCCACGGCCCCAAAGCCCTCTCAGGAGGAAGCAGCTGGCGCTTGGCTCTCCCCCGGGGGTGCCCAGGTCCCATATGGGCACGGCAGCACCAATCTCTGTGTGTCCAGGGGCTGGAGATGGGATCGGGGCTGGGACACGGGGTGCTGGTGGAGAGGGGCTTGGGCAGGGTCTAATCCTGGCTCAGCCCCTTGCTCCGTGATGGTAGGAGCTGGTAGGAGCTCAGTGGATTGGAGGGCGAAGGGCCACCGACGAGATGAGTAACGAAGCCTTCCCATTATCTCCTCACCTCTTTCTCCACCTCCTTCCTTCCCTTTCTTCCTCCTCCTCCTCCTCTTCCTCCTCCTCCTGGCACGCTCCCCACCCTCGGACGCCCAGACAAGGGAGCCACTTGTCCCACACCACCACTTTGACTGTCAACACCAACCCCAACATCAGCATCAAGTCGGAGCCCGTCTCGCCCAACCGGGAACGAAACACTGCCACCCCGCTCAGCACCTTCCCCCACCAGCCCCGGCACGAGCCCACCGGCCGCTCGCCCGTCGACAGCCTCAGCAGCAACACCAGCTCCTACGAGGGCAGCAGCGAGCGGGACGATCCCGCCCGCGCCGATTTCGGCTCCTCCCTGGGGCTCCTGCGCCCCGGCAGCGAGCCCGAGGGGGAGAGCCCCTCGGTGAAGCGCATGCGGTTGGATACCTGGGTCACATAACGGGGGTCCCCCGCCGTCCCTTTTCTTTTTTTTTTTTTTTTTTTTTTTTTTTTGGGAGGGGGGGGGGATGGGGGAGGCTCCGCCGGCTCGCAGCGGGGAAAGGGGAGGGCGTGTGTGTGGGGTGGGGAGGGTTACAGGGGGGCGAAACGGGTTAGGGGTTGGGGTGGGGTTGGGGAGATTTATCATAAACTGCCTGAGAAATAGCTTTAGGATTTTGTAGGCATTCATTCTAGCACAGCGGGCGGCGCGCGCGGCGAGGCCGGAGAGGATGGGGATGGATGGAGGGGGGTGGCAAAAATCAGATGGCTGCGTCCGTGCTGGAAGGAGCGGTCCCTGGTGGGGCTCATCCCTGCGGGGACAGCGGGGACGAGGGGTCCCGGGGTTGGGACATCCCCGGAGCAGAGCGTCTGCGGGGGGCGAGGGGCGATGGGGCGCGTGCTGGCAGGCGCTGAGCATCCCCGGAACGCCTCGTGCTGCCCCGAGAGCCTGGGGCAGGGAGAGGAGGCTCGGCCGTGTGAAATCTGGCTGAAATCCTCCCAAAAAGAGGCCGCCCGAGGGCCACGTCCTCCGCCGGTCCCCAAAAAGCGGCGGGCAGGAGCGGGGTTCCTGCCGGGATGGAGCGCAGCGCGCGCGTCCTTTGCCACGGGAAGGTGTCGGGGGCACGAGAGGCAGATTTTGAAGGCTTAATCCTGACTTTTGGGTTGAAACTGAGCTACAGAGAGCATCTTTTCCTGCAGATAAGGGAACTGTGTCTGGCCGCGGTCGCGTTAAACCTGCCCTGACCTCTCCTGGCCGCGTCCTGCGGGGTGCAGGTGGAGCCCGGCTCGTGCCCGGCCTGGTAAAATCGCGGTTTTTACCAAACGAAAGGCGCAAATGCATTTCAAATGCATTCCCATCCCACGTGGGTCAAAGCTTTAAATTAGAGGAATAGGAGCGAATAGCGTTCGGTTAGGGATGCAGCTGAAATAACGCCCTTGGGGTTTCGCCCGAAGGCCTCGGGAAGCCGGGGATGAGCCACGCGGAAAATCTGCCGCAGCCTCAGCCGCGTGAGCCAGGGGCAGGAAAAAGGGCACGAGGGAGACGGGGGAAGTTGTGGTGCTGCCGGCTGCTCCGGCGGGTCCCCTGGGTGCCGCAGCCTTTTGGGCTTTCCCCTGCAGGCGCTCTGCTCTGGGACGCCGTCCCCATCCCCATCCCTGTCCCCGTCCCCGTTCTCCATGCGCCTCCCGCTCGGTGACCTCGGGGACACCCCTTGCGCCAGCACCTCTCCCCCTCCACAGAAGGTCGCGGTTGCAAAACGGCACAAAACCTGCCCAAACGCCTCCCTGCCAGCTGCAGCTGGTGGCAGAGGCTGCCCTGGGGCCTGCGGTGTGGGGAGAGGAGCGAAAATTCCCCATGGGATTCACCCCCACCTCAGCTCGCTCCTCCCGGAGACCTCCGCAGAGCGTGGGGTTTCCAGCCCAGCCTGCTGAAACGGGGAGTGTTGCGTGAAAACGTGCTTGGGTGATGTCAAAGGAGAAGCCAATTGGTGTTTTTCTAAAGTTTTTCCACCCTTTATTATTTTTTTTCTTCCCCCAAGTGTCTTAATTGGAAAAACAGCAGAAAAAAAAGTAAACGATTGTGATGGAATGAACGTGGGCCACTTAAAGCGAGTAGTTTGAGGCGAGGAGACAGAAAGTCCTCCAGAAATCAGGTGGAAAAAAATGGCTAGGAGAAATAATGGCCAGGGAGGGAAGCACGGGGTGCTCCTCCTGTCCCTGCACGAGCCACTGGCTGGAAAAAGCATCGTGAAAACTTCCCTGACCCGGCCCTGCTGCTTCTCACCCCAAAATCCCCGCGCGGGGCAATGCCACGTGCCACCAGCTCACCCAGGGACGTGCCGGGTGGAGATTTCCTAACAAAAAAGCTTTGAAATACCAAACCGTTTCCACTTCTTGAGGTCTCTTCCAACCTAGAAATTCTGTGATTCTGTGATTCTTTTTTTTTCTTTTTGATGAAAAATTCTCACTTTCCTCTCCCGACCCAGCACGGCGCTCCCGAGGGATTCGGGCGGGCGATGGGAGCCCCCGCAGGCTCCCGGCAGGTTTTGTGCGGTTCTGCTGCAGCACCCCTCTCCCCACTCCCCAAACCTTGCCCAGCGCTTACTGGGGCGTACTGGGAGGCTTCGTGTCGCGAGCGGGAAGGGGCAGCTGTGCCTCTGTCCCTCCGTCCGTCCGGGAGGCAGGAGCCCCCCGCGCGCTCCCCACCGCTTTCCGTCACCGTCCGGCTCTGCCCCGCGGAGCCGCAGCGCAGCTCTTTGCACGGCCTTGCTTTGGAAATTAGGCGGGATTGACGACGACGTCTCATCGGTTATCATTTTGTTTTCTTTTCCTTCTTCACCCGTCCTGCGAGGAAAACCAAACCGCAACCAAAGGTTTTCCGCCCCGCCGGGGGAGGCGAGGAGCGCCGGGCACCCCGTGGCACCGAGCAGCGGCACCGAGCGGCCGCGCGCGGGGGGCGAGGAAACATTTCTGCTCATGGACTTCACGCCCCGACTCTTCCCGCGCTCACACCTCTACCTTGAAGCTGAGAGCCTGGAAAAAAAAAGAGGGAAAAAAAAAAAAAAAACACACAAAAACACACAAACGGAACAAAACAAACCCAGAAAAACGCACTCGGACGCGGATCCACCTGGAGGGGCGAGCCGTGCCGAGCTGTGCCGTGCCGATTTGTGCCGAGCGGATCCGCAGCAGCACGGCCCCGGGACTCGACGACCCCCGGCTCGTGCCACGGGCAAGTACGGCTCGTGGGCGAAATGATTTTGGGGTTGGTTTGTCGGGGGTCTCTCCGTTGGTTTCATCGGGGGCTTGGGGTATTATTTTTTTTCGTCCGGGCCATTATCCTTCCTTTCCCCACAGACTGTAGAGTCCAGTAAACTCCTCCTAATTTTCAAAAGACACCAAGAAGAACGACAATCTAAGAAACCAACACCCTCCTTTGTGCTTCTATAAATATGTTTCTGATCTTATAATTTTATTTCTCGTGCTCATCTGTACTGTTGACAGTTACAATTGTGTATAATTTTTTTTTTTTTTTTAATTTGGAATTTTTGCGTTGTATAGGGTTTAGTTTTAAAATATATATATATATATTTTCCATTTTTTAAAAAGGGGTGTTGCAAAAAAAATTGCACGATTTAAATGACAATAGTTAAAATGCTGCAGTTTTTAGAGATGTGGAAGCAAAATGGAGCTTATTTATTCTCAAAGGCTATAAAGGTGTAAAATGCATGAAGAAAAAAAAAAAAAACATTTACAAAAAAAAAAAGACAAAAAAAGTGTAACCTGAACAAAGTGTAGCGTTAAAAATTTTAAACGACGACAACGACGACAACAACAAACAAAAAAAAAAAAAAAAAGAGAAAAAAACAGCTAATATATTGTGTTTGGGCTAGTTTGCTTTTGTTTTTAATTGTTCCTTTTTTGGAGAATGAAATACAATTGTGTATATTTTCATATAAGAAGTATGCACTGATATGTTTCAAAAATGATATATTACTTTCTAAAAGTGTGGTTACTTACCAAAGCCTGTTTCTGATCTTTACCTTCTCGAACCCTCCGTGGATCCCTCGAGCGCGCACCGCCGGGGGGCTCGACGCCGCGGGCCGGACCCAGAGGTAACCCGGTGCAAGACCCCGGTGCCGGCTTCCTCCTCCTCCTCTTCCTCCTCTTCCTCCTCTTTCTTTCTGGGGGCTCCGTGCAGGTGGGGCTGGGCTCGGGACCCCCCCGTGCTGGCTGATTTGGGGGACGCTGGCCTTTCCCCGATCGCACCGGGGTTTTCTGCAGGGCGATGCCGAAACCCACGGGGGGGTCCCCGGGTGCGCGGTTCCCCTCGGGGTGCCCGGGATGGGGGGGCAGCGGGTGATGTGACGAGCGGGGTTTGCCCTTGGATGGGGCGTCTTATGCAGGGAGGGGCTCATGAAAAATAACCCGGGTGCAGGGTATTTAGGGAAAAACCCGGGTGTAGGGTATGGAGGGGCACCCAAAATACGCAGAGGGGTGCAGGGGGCTCGGCTGGCGGAGGAACGGGGTGGCCCCTGCTAATGGGGTGCTGGTGCTGGCTGCGGCTGAGCGAGGGGCACCCCAAACCTCCAGGCAGGGGTCTCCGTGTCCCCCCCATCGCCCCCGGTGCTCAGGGTGGGGATTTGAGGTCACCCCCGGTGGGTGGAGGTGTTGGAAGCGGAGCTGGTGGCGAAAAGGGTGCGCGTGGTCTGCAGGGGGGGGCGAGGCGGAGGGGGACGCTTTCTCCCCTTCCTCACTTTCCGCCCTTCAAATTCTCACCTAACCATGGAAAACGCAGAATTACAATAACAAAAAATCCTTAAAAACTCCACCTCCTGCCCTTTTTTTGCACTGGTTTGCCCGGTGGTGCCAGTGCTGCGGTGCTCACGGCATCGCGGTGCCATGTGCTGCCCCCCCCGCCCGTCCCCTCCGGCGGAGGGTGACACTCGGGGTCCTCCAGGGACCTCAAGCACCCAAAAGTTTGCTCATTTCCCATCTTGGCATCACTTTTACTCTGTCCTTCCTTCACTTTTTTTTCCCTTTTCACTTTTTTTCATTTTCACTTTTTTTTTCCCCTTTCACTTTTTTCCTTTTCATTTTTTCTTTTTACTTTTTTCTTTTTTTTTTCCTTTTCACTTTTTTCCTTTTCATTTTTTTCCCTTTCACTTTTTTTCCTTTTCATTTTTTTCCCTTTCACTTTTTTTTCCTTTTCACATTTTTCCTTTTTTTTTTTTCATTTTTTTCCCTTTCACTTTTTTTTCTTTTCACTTTTTTCCTTTTTTTTTTTTTTCTTTTCACTTTTTTCCTTTTATTTTTCCTTTTCACTTTTTTCTTTTTTTTTTTTCATTTTTAGCCCCCCCAAACCCCCCCAGGCCCCCAAACGAGCCTCATGTTCTCTCTACCTCCATCCCCCTTCCCCTGCCCGAAGCCAGAAGCCATGCTCGGGATGCAGGAGGGCCGCTCCTCCCTTCGTGTTCCCCGTCCTTCTCCCCTCCTCTCTCTCTGCT